ACCTTTAGAGCCTTTGGGATCCTGCACATTACAAAAATATTTTTAAAATGGGAGCTCGGGTAGGCGTCGGACAATTCATAAAATAATACTTTTTAAAAATCACACGGTTTAGCCGCAAACTTCCGTGCCGTACAGCGTGAATAACCCTGTATAAACTATATAGTTGACGTAGATATTTTAGACTGACCTTGCAGCACGCGATCCAGATGGCCAGTTTCCATTTGCCAGACGTAGACGGTCCCATCCGAACAGCCGATGATCATAAAGTCATCTTTGGGGCGCCACTTGATCGTGGTGACTGGAAACAAGTGCCGCGACGCTAGACAGACGCACTTTCGCTCAGCCAGACTCAGCAACGTGACCGAGTGGTCGGACGCCACTGCACAGATGCACTTTTGAATGCGAGCCTGCAATGCAAAAGCGTTAGAAACGCTGTCGTGCTGCGCCCCCCATCGGATCGGCTTAGGCCCATTTTCATCAAGCGATCTTAAACCAGTTCAACGTCTGAAACTCAGTTTGACGCGCTAAACGGATTTCACCAACACCTTAAAGTTAGTTTGTGCTTAAACGTGTTTAAAGAAACGAACTGGTCGATTTTGGGCGTTTATAGCTTTAAACGCCGTTTAAAGACCTGATCTAACTTCAGTGGGTAAAGAATTGTTGTTGTTGTCGGTCGACCGAAAAATAATAAAATAGAAATGGCACGTAGGCCAGTTTATAACTTAATTTTCGAAGAAGTCTGCGAATATTTTAATGTTCTGCTTCTACACCTTCACAAACTGCGCTTCAATAAACGCAGTTTGTGAAACGTGCCGAAGCGCTGGTGAAAACGGTCCGTCGTTAAACGCGCTTAACATAAACTTAGTTTCGTCAAACTGCGTTTCGCTTGTTTCTGATGAAAATGGGGCTTACGCTGCAGTTGTCCGGCGGCACCAGCAGCTGCGTGATTTCGCCTGCGTGCACGCAGAACCGATGAATGAGCGAGCCGGTGACTAAATCCCAGAGACAGACGGCAAAGTCCACGCCTCCAGACACCAGAAACTGTCTCTCGTATCTGGAATTTGAAGAAAACGTTGAATCAATCGGATGGTTTAGTTTCGCTTTTCGCTCGTTCATACCTGGGATGCTCCCGATGGGGATGCAGCAGACAGTTGACGCGACCATGGTGCCCCGACAGGATCTGGTGGGGGGGCCAATCTGTAAAGTTCCCGTCTTAGTGCGTTTCAATAGCGCCCCATACACGGCAGATTATCCGTACAGTTCAGATGCGTAGAGATTTGATTGGACAGATCCAGATCGGACGAATTAAACCTTTTCCTGTCCACTAATTAACATACCAAGCACGAGTGGCGATTCTTCCAGTCGGATTGGAGATCCGATCAAATCGGCCCGTTAGTGGAGTGAAATCTTACGTTTCAGACCGACTTGATCTGGCGCGTGTTATTTCAAGTGAACAGAAAGATCTGGTCGTGGCAGAGCCGATTAGTTAAACTAAATGTTTAAAATGCGAAGCAAGAAACGGATAGCGATTGCTTGTGCTGGCATCATAGTGTTTTCAGAAAATCTACGCAAAAACAAAGTGAGAAGAAAGTGGGTAGATTAGAGACTATAGACTGGAGGAGCGTCGGTAGCCATAGGCAAAAATGCGGCAACAAAATTAGAAATCGAATGCACGCTGGGATTTTTTATACACGCGGACCTATTGTGAGAGAGAACGCTAGTAGGCGGGTACTGGCTGTGGGTGTCCCGCA